TTTAAACAACGTTTGTGACACCACTGGTTACACTGCTGACACTTGATTGAATTGTTACCTACACCAGCTTTACAAACTCAACAGGGCCATCGTCAAGTAGCTGTGGATTGGATGGGTTCACCAGTGTTCATTGCTTTGGTTTTGCTGATGTTGACTTTGAATCCATGATCGGCGAGTCTGGTGTTCCAATCTTCAAACATCTGTGCTGCATTCTGTTAAAACGATATCATCAGCATATACTAGATTCCAAATGTCACCAGTGCGTATTGGTTATGTGATTTCTTCCATCACAGTTATAAATAACAGTGGACTGAGAATCGAGCCTTGGTGAACTCCAACGCCGATGTCAAATGCATCTGTGTTTCCAACCGTTGTGCTGACAAGAATCTTAGTATTTGTATACATTTCTATCACAAGTCGAACAAGATATTCTGGAATGAGTTGTCGACGTAGACTCCACCTGATTGCTTCACGGGGAACTCGATCAAATGCTTTTTCAAGGTCTACAAAAATGTTTGATAGTTGTTGATGCTTTGCGAGGTACTTTTCTTGCAGTTGCCGAAGGATGCAAATTGCATCAATTGTTGATTTCTCCGCTAGAAAACCAAATTGATAATTTCCGATTGTGATGCACGACGTTAATCTTCTCTCAATGATTTTTTCGACAATTTTCAGGGAGTGTTCTAACAGACGTATACCCCTATATGATGAACAGTTCAATAGATCACCTTTGCCTTAATTAATTATCAACACCGTTTACCACTCAGACATGGTTCCATTGAACATACCGAAAGCACAACTGAAGTCCCTTCTTCAAATTTACACTACCGAAGCACCATTCTACAGTCCCACAGGCAAACTTTACAAGTAAATCGACGGTGTCGCTATGGGATCCCCCGTCGGCGTCCTATTTGCCAGTTTTTACCTAGGACATATGGAGAATAAGACCTTCAAAAATATTGCAAGTTTAAAACCAAATATCTACGCTAGATACGTTGATGATATCTTTGTCTCCTATTACAATCTTGAACAAATCACCAAATTTCTTGGTACCTTAAACTAATCAAAATTAAGATTTACCATTGAAATTGAAAAGAAACAACGATTATCTATCCTCGATGTGTTATTCACCCGTAGCAAAGAACGATTCGTAACTACGGTCTATGTCAAAGAAACAAATACAGGAATTTGTTTGAATGGACAAAGAGAATGTACCGAACAATTTAAAGACAGCCCAATAAAATCATTTGTAAACCGGGCATTCGCACACTTTTCCGATATTGAAAATTGCGACGCTGAATTAAAAAGAGTCACCAACCTGCTTGTAAACAATGGATATAAGACTTATTTTATTGAAAAGATTGTTAAAGGCAAATTACTACACAACAATAACCTTCCTAATACCAACAAACAAAATAACGTCATCATCTTGTATTACAGAAATCATATGTCAACTGCATACAAAGTAGATGAAGCTATTCTTAAACATATCGTCAATAAAAATGTCACACCAACCAACCCAAATAATAAAGTTAAACTCCGAATTTATTACAACAATAAAAAGACGTTTCACCTGATACTGAAAAACAATTATAGACTTAGAGATAACTCTATGTTAAAGCATAATCACGTAATATATGAATTTAATTGCCTCTTTGATGGCTGTGCACGTCAACATGACTCGTATATCTAGATTACTACTACCTCACTGACTAGAAGGCTTACGATGCCTAAACAGAGTGCTATCAAATCTCATTTGGACTCAACACACTCAATCTCTATAAGTCGTGAAATTCTCGACAGCAACATCAAAGTAAAATACCAGAACACCAACTACACACATCTTAAAACTGCAAAAGCAGTCCTAATTGGCATCAATAAACCAAAAATAAATATACAACAAAAAATGACAATCTCACTCCCAATCCGGTGCTTAATCAACAATGAAAACAAAGAAGTAATAAAAACTAGCATTGTAAATAATGATAAAAAAGAATATGATGTAATCGATGAAGAAAAGGAAACCAACGAAGATGACCAGCCAATGAAGAAATCTGACACCTAATTTCCATCTAAGTTCACTTTGACAAAGTAAACATTTTTCTATATAAATCAAATTGCACTGATGATGATTCATTCGGAATCGAAATGTGGCTTTATTTGCAGCATAAATTCGGAAAATAAGTTTATTTTGAATTTTAATAAACTAAACGTTCTCCAAAAAACTATAGTAAGAAAAATCGAAAAAACGAACTACAAACACATTAATGCTAAACATTCGGTAGAATTTATAGAATATTGTAATATATATATATATATATATATATATATAATATATAAAATTAGGATTGATACTGTCGTACATACAATAATTAAAAAATATCTGCACTGTTTCTGGTTCAGTTGTTCAATATTTCGTGCTGTATCTTTATCATTGTATTTTAACTTATTTATATAAAAAATTGTTTAACTACTCTTCTATTCATTTTTATTTTATACAGAATATGTTATCGAATATTGGTTGCCTCATATATGTATATATATCTTCATAATTTATTGGCTCCAAAAATCATTTCAATCATTTCCATTTTTTCTCTTTATTAGTATTTTTTTTGTCGATAGCAAAGTTACTGCATTTTGTTAAATATTTATTATAGGGTTCTCTTTCTTTATAAAAAGTATTTTTGCATATTTAAGTTGAAACGAACGCCTGTTTCGATACAGTAGTATTTTTGTGTTATTGTTGAGTATTTCTCTAAAAATGGCTGTTCCGTGGTTATCGGTTAAATAATTGTTTTTTGCACCCCTATGTTTATGCATATGCATAGTAAATCTCCGTGCCAAAGTAATAGTAGTGGATCAGTTATATTCTGAATTTCGATGCCTGCACTCACCGATACGACAATTAAAGAAATATATAAGATGACTACTTTTCATTATTGACACTTATTCTTACTACAGTTATTTTTAAGAACAAGGAAAGAAATTCTTTTGTTGGTATAGTAAGTTCTATATTGTAATTTGTCATTACTATCGATTTTAACCGTCTAACTATTCTGTCATTCTAACTATGTTTTTTTATATTTGTTCATTCGTTTTAAAAAGAAGGGGACATAATTTTTTATAATATATTATTATACTTTTATTTCCAGTTGTTAATTGCTATTATCTTGTTGCTCTCATTTTAAAGATTATAAATTCGATAAGTGATTTTTTATAACCATTATTAATTAACAGTTCGGTCGCTCTCTTCAATTCTTTGTCCCATCGTCTAAACCTGTGCAATGTGTAAAGGCAAAGTTGACCGATGACAAAATCGTGCTTTTTAAATGCGTGTTTCAACCTTCACTCTTTCCGTTTAAACATATTCTTTTTTTGGTTGGTTTGGTGTAAACCGAAGTTTTGATATTAAAAATTAGTAAACAAAATTAGTAAAAATTAGCAAACAATACACTCAATAGAGAACCCATTAAAACATCAAACCTTTGTTTGCATGGCTTGTTATCTAGAGTATAGAAAGGTTTTTCCATCGTACAAATTTTAAGAAGCTTGGCATGAAGGTGGATAGAAAATCAATAAATTGTTTGCTAGATTTCAAATTATACCTATAAGGCGTGTATGCAGAAATTAAACTGTTGAGTATTTTAGCAACTAGGCATGTTGATGGTGGTATTTTGCTGATTATAGGCCTTGATGGGTTATCATTTTTGTGTGTTTTTACATGGAGTGTGGTTCATATTCACTAATCAATTATGGGCTTATTTTCGGCAGTTTAAATAATTTATTTAATAATGCCATTTAATTTTGCTTTTAGTTAGGTCTTTTACCATAATTTTGATCTTTTTTTCTGCTCATTGTTTTTTTTTAAATAATTTTTTTTCATCAAAACTTATATTTGTGCCATGATTGTTTTTTATTATAACGTTTTTATTATTTTTCACTCTCCTGCTTTTTTAGTCGATCGTTAAGTAACATTTGCTTTTATATGCGATTCTCTTTCTTTCCTTCATTCAGCTGCTAGTTCGAAAGCAACATTACTATTCAACTCAACTTGTTTTTTTTCTTATTCTAGTAATTCGTTCATGAGTTTCTCAATCTCAATATTTTTCTCAATTTCATTGGCTTCTTCATGTATTGACAATTAATGCCTAAATTCAGAAAAATTTTTTATCCTGGACCAGATCATAATTACATAAATTTATAAATCGGTCATGTCTATTTGGAATTGTATTCTTGAAATTGACTAATTTTTTACCATTTTTAGTTTGCTAATTTTCTTAAAATTGTTGATAATGTTATCCATGCAATTATTAATATTAGATTTTAAAATATCATTGATCTTTGTTATCATCCATGTTCCATTATTAGTGTTCAATTTATTTTTAATGTTGTTGATCCTTTCTTTTTGTAGTTTCAATTCAGTGACATTGTCAGGCTGTGATTTGTTATTTATAAAATTAGGGATGAGACTGTCATATATACAGTTACCAACAAATATAACTGAATTCTCAACTTTGATCAGTTTTTGGATCAGGTTTTCAATATTTTGTACCATAGTTTAATTTTTTTAACATACTTATATAAAAAACAAAATTTCTAATCACATTTTTATTAATTTTTATATTATATAGAAAAAGCTTTTTTTCGGTTATCCTTTACCATTTTCAATGTAATATGTTATCAAATATTGGTATTATCTTATATCCACCTACTTATTTTTAGAATTTTGAAATAGAAATATAATTATAGCGTTTAAATAGAATTTTGACCAAAAAGTTTTGACGTTATATATATTTTTAACTCCAAATCCGATAAATCATTATTCACAGTGCTATTCAGTTTTAGAGGTTACATATACTTACAAGTTTTAAATAGAATGAATACAAAAACGGTCAACAAATTTTATGGCTTGTATTAAGTAATTATTTATTTGTCGATAAATCAGAACATGTAAAAAATGAAATACAATAACGTAAGGTTGATTGATTTCGGAAAGTAACCTCTTGTGGCGGCACATCAAATGAAACTGTCCTTAAATCAACTTTTGTGTAACTTTCTATGCATGGTAGGACAAAAAATATTCCTGCAATAGTTTACAAAGTTTTAAACAAAACAATTAATTAAAAATAATTTTTTAATAACTATCTGTAAACAAAAGTAAATAGGATTTTTTTTCTTAAACACTAATCAACGAATCAAAGAACAATTGCATCAAATAGATTTGCACCGACGAGTGACCCGTCTAAATAATGCAAATCTAATAATTTTGTGGAAGAATACAACAAAGCCTGTCAAAAATGATATAAACAAAATAGCGATCATAATATTTATTCACGTTTATTACTCTAAAATTCGATTATGAAATGTATTTGGCAGAAAATGATTTTGTACGCCTCAAAAAAATTACTAAGCAGTTGTCAAATAACAGAAGTTTGCATTGAGATGGCATGCCTGAAAAATAAAAAATAACATATGGAAAATTAAAATTTACAACAAATAAAAAAATGAGTAAAATTTATGAAATTTTTAAAAACAATTATAAATAGCTATATCTGCACAATTATTTAATACTTTTTTCTATACATTATATTTTCCATAAAATTAATAAACTTATTTTTTAAGAATATATAAAAAAAACTTAATTTATGCAATTAATTTGGTTAGTTTGTATACAGCCGTTAAGTTTTGAATCAGTTCTAATTATTTGTTTTATTTAGTTTGAGTCATTTTCAGATTTTGGTAGCCTTAATGTAACATTTTCAAAAAATTTATATTCGGTATTTCATTTTGAAATACATTTTTATCAAATTTTGAAAATATTTAATTTTTTAATTAATAACAATTCTATGATTTAAATAATGGATGAACATTGAAAAACACCATTTGAACGTCAGGTTACTAAATATATATTTTATTCATTAGGTCAAAATGTAATTTTTATTTATGAATGAATTTTTAGGTTTATATTGATTCGTTATTAAACTTTAGTGCACAAACTCTGAATTTGCAAACTAGCTAAAAAATACTCAAAAAATAAAGGATTCGAAAAAGTTAAAAAAAAAAACATTTAGACACAGACACGGCTCTCTCGCTTGGTATTTTAAACTTGGGTTCATAACAAATCATAATAAAACTTGGTTCCATGGCTTTAAAACAACTTAAATTGAAACATTTGTCACAATCTATCGGTTTTTGTGGTTCTTGTACTGACAAGACAAAACAAAAAGGATAAAACAGAACAGGATAAAAATTGTCAGTGTTTAAGTGATAAAACGGCTTTATCTGCAAATAAATAAATGAAAGTGCTGAAGAATAAATAAATTCTAAAATAAATGTTCTGTTTTATAGCTGTTCTGTTTTGTCCTCGTCCTATTCTGTCTCTGTCCTGCTCACAACTGAAGGAATATGAACTTTTGCCAAAGAAAATAATGACTTTTCGTAAGCAATGACTTTTTTGTAAATAAAATTAAGTTATTAAGAGCATATAATTTGCATTCTACTTCTCAAGTTAATTTCCCTTTCAACCTTTTCCTGATTCTACTCTACACTCTATCCTTTGAGTTAAACTTTTAATTCTTCTGTTCGTTTAGTTGCGGGTGCTACTTTCTTTTCTCATATATCTCCATATCTTGTTCTCTTGCATTTGCTACCTATAGAACATAGAATAATTTTTAAAATTTGCACATTAATTTACAAACCTCAACCTAAATTATTTAAGTACTTATAAAATATATTAATTGAACCTAAACACCCCGATTCACGATTGTCTTCTTATTTTTACTTCTTTTTACGCCGTATTAAAGAGTTTTAAGCTAAATCTGCGAATGCTTTTTTGGCCCTTTTCTCCGGAAGTCTTTACCTCCTTCTCTTACTATTTCTCCAGCACTTACAAAGTTCAGAGCGAATCTCAAGACCTATCTGTAAACTGTTGAACATTGCTTCAAAAACCAACTGATTGAATGACAGACTAATTGATAGATAGATTAGTTTAAGGAATATACAATAAACAAACAAAAAGTTTTATATAAAAATTTAATTACTTTTAGTTTTATGTAACGGAAATGTTCACAAATACTTGTTTAGGTAATATTCGGAATAAAAAAATGTTTAAAACTTATTTTTTCGTTCGCACGATTTATTGCAGCTTAGCAAGATCACGGTCGTCGTGCGATTCACACGGCGTAAAGATTTATAGAAAAAATTTATGACCGTTACATAGTGAGTCTAAAAATGAAATAGTGAATCAGACTTAAGGTTGTTAAAAATGGTAATGCTGGGATAATAAAAGAAATAAGAAACATGATAAAAGTAGATAATTGAAATGTAATGGTAAATATATTAAGTCAGATAGAACAGTTCGAAAGATTGGTACAATTACTTTACAGGACAACATAAATGTCCATTGTTGAAATATTGAAGTACCAGTCAAAAATGAAGGTAACTGAATTTTCATATAATATGAAGAATATTGAAGAGATTCTAAATAAACACATAAACACACAATGAAAATGAACGAAGAAAAAAATAGATTCAAAACTCAATAATATTTAGTTTAGAAGAAATCAGGGAAAAGCCTGTCAAGCATGACGATCTCAAATCAGCCTGGCTGTATATGAAACCAGAAAAAAGATACTAAATATGCTGAAATATTGTGCAAATGCATGAAAAAAAAAATAATTAAAATGAGTAACATTTTTGAAAAATGAAAAAATATTCACTTATAAACTATAAACCTTTAAAAATTGTAAAATTTGATAAATGATTAATTGTTCAAGGAAGCTAAAAAATAAAAACAGACACTAAAGTGCACTGAAAATGCGCGCGAGTGCGTTCGAGAGTCAGTATAGATAAATTATAAGTATATGGAAAAAATAGACAATGATCTAAATTGATTTCGGAGGCTATGGAAAAAGAAAGTGTAGATGGTGTAGAAAATGCCTATATTTTCAGGATGAAAGGACTGCTAGGAAGCACGTGGGTAGTGATAATGCAAAATATATAAATTCTTCCGTTAATAATTCGTATTCTTTTTTTTGGTCTTTATTATTGCAGCTCTGACATACGCAGAACCAATTACAATGTTATAGATATATTATCTATATATCTTTTATTATGTTCTTTATATCTTCATCCATTGATTTGAAGCAGCCATCTTCGCCACAAAGGCTGTTTATCCATTTCACACGACGTACACATGTATTTATGTGCACACGCACCGCATCATATACGCTGAGTATATGATAGCCATTGAGATGTTTGACTCAGCGATAGGCAGCAGTCAGTCAGAGCTTGTGACTAACTCTTTTACGATCAGCGCGAACACTTTACTGTGTTTGTTCGTGTATTTCGTGAAAGCTAATGTTGAACCACAGTTTGACAATATATGTTTATTTGTTTGTCAAATTTTGCAAAGTGGACATGAGGAAGTTGTAGTTTTACCCCACATAAACAAATTTTTTTTGTCTTAATTATTGCAGCTCTGACATACGCAGAACCATTTACAATGTTACAGATATATAATCTGTATAACTTTTATTATATTCTTCATATCTTCAACCATTGATTTGAGCAGCCATAAAAGGCTGTTTATCCTTTTCACACGACATACACATGTATTTATGTGCACGCGCAAGCACCGCATCATATACGCTGAGTATATGATAGCCATTGAGATGTTTGACTCAGCGAGCATTTGAACCACTAAGCCATCTCGCCGGCCAACATGCGACAACTTAAGTCGTCTACCCATTCATTAATATTTAATTAATTTCCACCGTGCTTGTTTGAATTTCATTTGAAAGGATATCAATTAATTTCAAAGATTTTTTCTTCAAATGGCTGCCGTGACTTATTGATTTATTTTTGTGAAAATCTACCTATCAAAGAAGTTTTTCTGTCATCATTTCTTCAAGAATATTTGTGTGTTCAACTATCTTCAAAATCTAAAAATCTGAATATTTTATCTTTGTACCGTAGCCCTGGCAGCTCTGAAGCAAACAATGATTTATTATTACAGCTCCTAGATGAATTTTTAAAATTACCAGGTCTTCATGTTTTTTTTGGTGATTTTAACTTCCCAGATATCATTTGGAATCTTCATAGTTCAAATGGCTCATCAGCAAAAATAGATAATGTGTTTTTAAATTTGATTAATGATAGGTTTTTGTTGAAACATATAAATGAACCAACTAGAGCTCGTGGTGCTCAACAGCCACATATTTTGGACTTAGTTGTAACGAATGTGGATATTATCAAAAACATATCTATCTTGGCACTATTGGGTGGAAGTGACCACGCTACTCTTTTGATTGAAATGAGTGGTTTTATTGAACTGAAACAGTCAGTTAACAAGAAACTCTGCTATGACATTGGAGACTATTGCTATGACTACTCTAATTTTAATGATGATCTCAACATTGCTCTGGCTACTTTGCTGTGCACTCATCCTAAACTGTCAATTGAATCACAGTGAAGTACATTTAAAGATTTCCTTCTGAATTTAAAAAAATGTTCCATTAAAAAACATGAACAAAAAGGGTGCATTCAAAATGAATCCTTAACTACTCAGATTAATAAAATGGGAAATTTTTTATGGAAGCAAACATATAAGTACGGTATCAATTTCTTGAGTTCATTCAGGTCTATAAAAGATAGGGTGAGAAAATTAACTAAGGTACTTCACATTCAACATTTAAACGATGTGGCAAGAGTTTTTAAATCAAACCCCAAATGTTTTGGAAACATGTGAAAAATTTCACTCTAATTAAAGATAGGATTGGTTCATTGTCCCATGATGGCATACTTGTTTCAGATGACAAAGATAGAGATGAGATTTTGGCGAATTATTTTTCTTCCGTTTTTGTTAAAAATATGCCATTTACATATGATGGTTCTTTTAATAACACAATGATTCCCCAAGAGAGTATGTCAGAGTTAATAATCAGTGCAAAAAATGATTTATGAAAAATGAAAATAATCAACAGTAACAGTCACCAGGCCCGGATGGAATTCATTCCAGAGTTTTGTTTGAGACAAAAGCAACCTCGTCCAAACTACTTAGCCAACTTTTTCAAGGGTCGTTAA